AGAGAGAGAGAGAGAGAGAGAGAGAGAGAGAGAGAGAGAGAGAGAGAGAGAGAGAGAGAGAGAGAGAAAGAGAGAGAGAGAGAGAGAGAGAGAGAACGAGAGAGGGAGGGACATGTAAGGTTATTTCCCTTCCGTGGTCGATACATACATAAGCAAGCTAGGTATTCATTGATTCAATTTGCTAGTAGTCAGGCATAATACCGATGAAAATGCACGGGAGGTTTTTATGTGGTGCGATAAATAGAGATGAACCTGTTCAGTCTCTGACAGTAGCAGCCTTTGAAAAACGGCGCATATAGCATTACCGTCACTGCACCAATTGTTATTTTGCTATCACAGGACCAATAGCACAGGTGAAACACCTGTACCCTGCAGCATCACTACCCTCCGCATCAGTACCCTGCAGCATCAGTACCCTCGGCATCAGTACCCTCGGCATCAGTACCCTCGACATCAGCACCGCATTCGTACAACCGCGTGCTCGAGCGTTGCCTTTTCAGTGGTCACAGATGTTGCCAGATAGTATCAGCATTATACCGATCCCAGTTCGAGCTACCTCGATCTATATATATATATATGCGTCCGCATAATTGTCGCACTAAACTAAACTGTATGTCGCGAATGAGCAAGGATAACGTATGGATAATGTGATGGGTGAATGGACTGGATACTGTACGACAAGGTCCGCGTGTTAGGGGGGGGGGGAAGACGCGACATGAACGCTCCCACCCCTCGGGCTCGCGTCACGCTATTTCTGCTCCTGTCGTCTACATATAGCATCAATGCGCAGGAAAGAAAATAGAAATTATAATGGATGCGTTCAATATCTCCATTTTTCATGAGCATATATTTATTTCGAGCGTTGTAAATGGATTCTAACGCGGATATAAGCGTACTAAAACTTAACGAAACGTTACGTAATATGCAGTGTTTGACGGCGTTTCTGAATTTAAATGCTCTATGCACTAAATGGTGGGTTTTATTATTTTATTGGTTAATCGCCGGAAGACGGCTGCATGTATAGAAACATAGAGAAAACGGTGCGCGCGTATCGCAGTTACACGCGATGCACAAAATAACTAGGTTATGGTGAATACTACATATCGCTTATATCTAAAGTGTATTATACGTTCTCATTTTGCGCACGTCATTTGTGCGCATTGTTTTTACACTAAAACTGCTAGATATTATAGCTGTATTCCAGCGTAACGCATGCAAGCATCTATACGTACTCTACTCTCTCCTCTCTTTTACGCTCTTCCCTTCTCTCTATTCGCCATCTCTATCTCCTCCACCTTCTCCCCCGTCTCCTCTAACGCCTAAACCCAGTGAGGGAGCAATTAACGTTGACCGCATCGAACACGAGGCAAAAGTTAGAACAAGTAGTTTATTGCTGACGTCAACTATCGTTACCGAATCTCTAGCAACCATATATATATATGTATATATATATATATATATATACGTGTATTGCGTTAATAGCACAAATATTGCCGATATAGGTACAGTTAGTATAAGCGGTTAGGTCGATCGCAGACTCACTCTCACAACGCACACGGACGGACATATTCAAGGACGCATATTACCGTGTTTACGTCGTTTTCGTCGCTAGCTCGCGTAAATAAACACCTAGTAGCACAAAGCACGTCCGTGCACACAGAACCGGTCGCACTGATCCGTAGACTCTGGCTCCTCAGGTGCGCTCTGCCTTCCTTCGCCTCACCTGCCCGATATCGTCTCCCGCAACGGTGAAGCGGTGAGTGTCTGTATGGCCGGAGGGATGAGTCGCCCGAGCGACGGGTCACGGATCCGTATCAATCCGTCTTATGTGCGTACACACTCGCTTAAGGTATCCGTCGTCACGTATGCAGGGCACGCCGCACGCTCGCGCTCTCTCGCTGCTTCGCCGTCGACCAACAGGTACGAGAATAACCGGTGAAAATATTTCAAAGCGTATCCCGTGATGCAGCGCGCGCAGCGGCGGTGCGCGCAGCCGACAGCAGCTGCGAGCGACACAATACCGTGGAAGCGGTTTAATCAGCAGCCCGTCACGCTGCTGCTGCTGCCAATGATCACCTATAACAGTCACAGCAGAACACCGATATAGCGGTACTTACGCACGCGTGGGGGGTAATAGCGGGGCTAGTGTAGTAGCACAACGAGAGCAGCTTAGTACGTAGGCGACCTTGACCGCCCTACAAACCCTCAATCGAAAAAATGAGTGATGAGTTATATCGTCGTGACGTGTCCCCGTGTCTCGCCATGTCGCGCCATGTTGTATGTCACGTCTTACTACTGGGACACCTGTGCCCTTCCCGCAATCTTATAATGCTCTGTGTCGTGCCGCGTCACCTACACACCACCGTGCCCTTTGTCTCACGGTGTCACCAGCCCGCGACCATGCTATAACGTCCTATGTCTGACGATGTCACCTTACCCTTCCCCGCCTTATCATAATTTATCTTTGGCTAACGGTGTCACCGTGTGATTTCCCGCAATGTTATAATTTCTCTTTGGCTAACGGTGTCACCGTACCCCTTCCCGCCATTTTATAATTTCTCTATGGCTGGCGGTGACACTGTGTGACTCTCCGCTGTCTAGCAGCTCGATCCTCAATTTTAGCTAGCATTGATCGGTTTGGGTTTGCGCGTGCACATAGTAGAGAGAGAGAGAGAGAGAAAGAGAGAGAGAGAGAGGGAGGGAGGGAAGGAGAGG